GCATAATAAAAAAAACGGGTGGTGTAAGGGTGTAAGTGACTGCCCTTATAATCTAAATAAGACAAGATAGTGTGTGTGTAGAGGTAGAGGTAAACAACTAAAGCAAATGCCAGTTCACATTATGCATGAATAAAACATGTAAATGGCTGTGTGTGAGTTTATTTGCACGCAAATGTTTGTGGGGATATATATGGAAATACTTTTAGTTCAAACCATTCATTTAAAACTTTAATTCTCTGCTTCTAAACGTTTAATTACACTTGCTGGTGGAAATGTTTGATAGTGAAACCAGCATTAAAGTATTTCTCATGTATTCCAACCACGTTGATTTATGACACCTGGTGTCGTGGTAATAAAATAAAGTTCAGTTTAACACTACAGCAAACCTTACAGGAGTAAAACAACAGAACAACAGGACTATTAGTAAGACTTACACTGTACTATCCAATTAAAGGTGGGTAGGTAAGTTTGAGAAACCGGCTCGAGATACACTTTTTGTTATATTCCATGGAATGCTCTTAACATCCCGATAGCAATGAATATCTTAAGTGCTTTGACAACAAATCCATAAAAACATGTAATCTGTGGAACCCGTAATACTGTAAAAAGCACGACCAATCATCTGAGCCGGCCCGGCTAAAATAACTGGATGGCCTACCTGCCTGTCAGCCTTCCATCTGTGCACAAACTTATCTCGTGCCCTCATTGGTCATGTGCGTGTTCGTATGTTTTGGAGCAGGGGCTCTGTAAGGAAGTGGCAGATTTTTTCTGGCTGTATATTTTCTAATTCTAGCGCACTCGAGCTGGTTTCTCCAAAATTACCGACCCCACCTTTAAGAAAAATAAAATATAATCAAATGGTAAACATTTTTTTAGCAGTCATTCTGTCATTCCATTGCAAGCTAGAGTCATTTTAAAACCTCTAAAATTCAAGGATACCCTTCTGGCTGAGATTTTAGGGTGGGCTGCTGGACGAAAGAGTTGTTTGTACATTTGACAACAGCAAAAAACGTTGATGTTTTCTTTTGGTTTGAATGTTCAGACTATGTAATGAATAAAGTGCTTTTTCATCAGATTCGGTACAATCCCGACAGGTGTGTTAAATACAACTAATAATGCTATTGATTGTTGTAAAAAGTGGCACAAAAACCTGATTTGGCTTATTAGAATCCATTATGAAGTTATTATTGACCCATTTTAAAAAAATATAATTTGGGTGGAGTCCAGACAGTGTTTGTATTCATAAAATGTCTTTGGTGACGAATAGACTTATTCACAAGTTACATCTTCAGCTGAAGAACTGATTGAGTGTTAGCAAACTTAATTCGTGGCTATGTTGGAGGATCATTGAATGCACCACTGAAGGGAGTTTTAAACAAAGGCTTCCTGTTTTATACACAATGGTAAGATGTCTTTGTCAGAAAAGTAAAGGCAGCATATTGCTCATTGTGATGGATTACCTCTGTCTGGGCCAATTGCACGTCTATGCAAGTTGATTTTTATATTGTACTGATAATAATGAAAGCCAAGTGCTGCCTGGAAGGAGGAAAATCAATCTAGAAACTTGTGGTATGTATAATAAAGTTGAGCGCAAGCACTTTGTATTAAGCAAACAAAAATGTACGAGAAATAACCACGTTTCTCTTTCCTGTCTCTTCCCAGGATCACATCCCTATCCCGTATCAGCCAGACTCCAGCAGTAACCCGTCCTCCACCACCTCCTCCACCCCGTCCTCCCCGGCTCCGCCTCTGCCCAGCAGTGCCACGCCCCCCTCGCCCCTGCATCCCTCCCCACAGTCGGCACGGCAACAGAAACAGTTCAACTTGACAGGTATCACAATCAGAGTACCTATAAATATAGAGATATTCAAATATTTTACATGGGAAACAATACATGAAACAATGCACACCAATTTCCCCCTCTATCAGTTCTGAAGCTGATAGAAATGTGATTTATGTAATTTAGCAGATTTGTGGTTGAAACTATAAGATAATAGACTAAAGTTAAATGCTGAATGCTTGACTTTGACTTCTAATTGAGAATTGCTACTTTTACTTAATAATTTGAGTACTTAAGTGGTTTGTCGCTAATAAAAAGCAAAGGAAAAAAAAGAAAAGGACACATTTTGACCTATTAAAGCGCTATATAGAAAGTCAAGCTGGGCACCATAAGTCTTTATTTGTTTACATATTATTCATTTTTGTGGTAAAGATTAGTGTGTGCACCACATTCCCCACAATTCATCTACCAATTGATAATGCTTTTCACCTAAAACCAAAAAGGTCCAACTTATGGTAGTTCTAGAAGAAAGGGGGTTGCCAAAGTCAGTAAGATACACTGTCACAGAACCATGACCATCTGATTCAAATCTAATAACATCCATCCAATCATTGTTGAGATATTACGTTCTGGACAAAAATGACCAACAGATTGACATTGCCTTCAACAAAATCATGTTGGTTGCGTTGCTAAAAAAGTAAACGTGCTTAATTTTCATGAAACCAATCATGTAAACATACCACTTACATGTAAACCAATAAAAGTTTAGGTTGCCAAATGTATCTGAAAATTACAATATTGTGATGTATACATGTAGTTACTTTGCTTAAAGCCTGTCAATAAAGGAAGAAAAAAATGATTATAAAAGACAAGAGTTAAAAGGGTTAGTAATCATAAATTAATATTTGAGCAACATATGTTTAAATTCTAGCAACACCTTGTTTTATTATCTGCATATGGACTAATTGTGTAAATACTGAATCAACAATCAATCTTGTAAGATTTGTAAATCCACATCACTCCAGCTCTCCTTTTGTTTTCTTTCCGCAGGCTCCAGTTATTTCAAGTACAAACAACAGTTCATCTTTCCCGGTAAGTACCTCGTAATTGTTCATTGCCCCTACCCATAATACCCTAGAAGCAGCCCAGGAAGAGTATGGAGGAGGAGGACTCCTTTGATGTTGGTGCTGATTTTCATCTCGTCACCATGGCCTGCTTTAAGACTGTCGTCCCCATACACCCACTTGTTGGTTGTCTCATTTGGGCCTCCTAATGACTTGTCAATGCCCTGACTCTTTTCCTTTGCCCACACTGGGACCACACAGTCGTTGCTCATTTGGCAGCCTATTATAGCCCAGACAACCTGGAGTGGTGTGAGGAATAGAACGAGGTGTAATTGAGATCTGGCGAGACAGGGTTTTTGGAAACAAATGAATATACAGCACCCTGGATCTTATTATTGTAGCCACACTGTCTGTTTTCATCTAAATCACAGCAGCTACCTTTATGAGCTGCATAACAACACAGTCGAACACTACCACTTACTGTTAGTCCCGTCAATCTAAAAACCATTACGCTGTAAGTGTAGCTATATTCAAGTCGAATTCAATTGACTGTAAATGCAGGCTCTTTTGTTTTGATAAGAAAATGAAAAACACAATGACAAAAAGCCTCCCAGGGATTCATGTATTCATCCATCACATTTACACAAGCGCTAAATCTAAGTGTCGCTTGAGCATATTCCAACGTACATTTTTGGTGGAAAGAAGGAATACCCTTCAGTCAGTCTGTCACAGGGGCCACAAACACAGCGGCTGGCAAAGAATCACACCATTGGACATAGAGCCTCCAATCCTTCTGGCTTGCTGGTCTTTGAAGTAAATCCATTAAAAAAATCCATGCAGGCATCACACGGAAAACAAAACCACATCCTTCTCAATTTGAGGTCACGTGCCAGCTACTAATGCACCGTGCCACAAAGGGAATGTTTTTTTGGTGGCTCACACTGTGCCAACACGGGCTGAAAGCATGGCATGTCTTTAAAAGGTAGATGCCACATCAAATCTGACCTCACTATCATGGAAGCATTCATTTTGAACATGTAGGACGACATGTTCAAAATGAATGCTTCCATGATAAAGCTAACAGAAGGTAACCTGCTCTTTCTTTCTCTGAAGAGATGACACACAGTATGCTCTACATGCTTTCATGGTGATCAAATTAAATACAAATCTTTCTACATGCTTTGAAGACGCATACTCTGAAGGGATATCACATTTCGACACATATATTGTATTTCTCAGGATTGTATTCCCACTGTGAAGACTTTTCTAAGCTTATTGATATTTCCATACACATTATGTCTAGAACGTCTGACTCCAATACAAAAGGGTTAGGAGAATGTGAGCATTCCTTTGTGCAGCTAACCTTTTCTCTTCTGCAAACTGCACACCAGGTGCAAAGAAAAGAAACAAAACGTGTTGAATTCCAGCACACTGTCAGCACTAAGTGATTTGAAATTGCTTCAGTGATGAATTGCCATAAATGCAAAAATATATTCCCAATGTATCATGATATGATTTTGGTGTTCTCTAATTGAAATCTTCAAACAATGTGTGGGAATTGACTTTTCTTTGCTGCTTTCACCCCAGGGAAAAGATATGCTGCGGTGGATTTGATCATGTTTTTACCATGTTAACACAGTTTTTTTTTTAAATAAGGAGAATCTGGGTTTACAAAGGCCTCGAAAAACTTGGACATACAGTTTGTGGAAATGTGGCAATGCGGGCATTTGAATCAAAGTCAAATGTTTGTTGCTCTAAAATATGTTTCCTGGGAGTGAAACTTTTAAATGTATCAATTGCTATTAAGCCGGAACCCCTTTTAATGCAGACTTATCTATTTTAAGATGGAGGTACATACACCTCACCTATAGCTGAATTCAATCACTTCCTTTAAAAAAGAAAAATTAACTAAGCAGTTGCACTCAGTAAAGTCTTAGTAAAATATCAATAAAGTATTTTTGACTTTTTTCACAACCCTAATTGAATACAAACAGTCTCACTTTCTAAATGTGGTTCACTCCTTAGTTGCTTTCATCTATATGGCAGTTGCTAGTGGTTTAATAAAAACGCCATTAAAACATTGAGGAAATCAATTATTACATCATTTTATATTTAGTAGCGGTGTGTTTCATTGTGCTCCCATAACTTCAGTTGGGACATCAACTGTTCAAATACTTTCTAAAGGTGTCTCGTTATTCAACAAAAAGATGCATCGCTTTGTTCTAACCTGTTTGTTTGATATACAGTATGTTACTCTAATTTCCCCAGATGTTGCTCCAGAAGCTCCTCCAAGCAGAGCACCACAGGTCATCCTGCACCCCGTACTGTCTGAACCAGGGTGAGCAGATCATTCATTATAACACGTTATTCATCAAAACCATATGTCTACCTTGGAAGAAATGAAGAAAGTACTTATGATATTCATCATAAATACTTCTCAGTTATCTTCCTTTCATCTACACGCTCCTTTGTCTCCTCGTCTCCGTGGCCGCTGGTCAGAGGCCAGGTCAAACTTATTGGAGCACAGATATTTGGGTGACAATTTCAATGCGGGAGCCTACATGACGAATACTCTGAATGTCAGCACATCCTTTCGTTCACGCTACACTTGGGATGCCAACTGGATTTTCACTAGCTCTTTGAGGAAGCCAGTGGTCACGGGAAAACAACCAGAGAAGGAGGAGGAGTGATGAGATGCCTTTCGACCCCGATGCTAACTGGATCAGAATCTCAATCTATCTTAGAAACAGGGCGAAATTACCCCCCAACTATAGGCAGATGGTCAATTTTGATGAAATATGGACTGTAGTTATGGATTGTAATGGATTAATCAATAGTAAATAATGTAATTTGTTTTATTTTATGAACATCCACTTGAAGAGGTCCTAGACAGATGATGGCTATTGTTTTAAATGATGCTTAACCCCAGGCTAGTGATGTATTTAGATACAAAATATATTTTTGACGTCTTCATGCTACATTCTTTAAGCAGCTGTCAGCTTTGAAATAAGAATATGTAAATAAAAGCCCGGAAATATTTATAGCAGAAAATAAAGTACAAAAGGTAATGTAATGCATACATAACAGGAGGTTCTATAGCGTTGGAAAAGACTGGGGTTTTTCAAGGATCACTTAGTGTCAGTAAGCAACAAAGGGTTACCGAAGAATTCAGTTGGTTCCAGTCCATTATGCTACACATGAAAAAGACATGACAGAAGAGAACAATAGCAATTGTAGTAGAATGAGGTAGGTTTTTCTAATTTGCAACAGGAAAAATTTAATCAAAAATGTTTTTGTTTGTTGGGAGCTAATATGGCCGCTATAAGAGTCATGCGATCTGACGTCAAGAGCAATATTCCTAACCATGAACAATATGATGTGAGATAGATGATTGTATATTCAGACAGAACTGCCAGATGGTTGTAAAAAAAACAAAATGACAAACATCATAAAACAAGGATTTGTTGTCAACCTTTCAACAACTCCAACTCCAGTGTGGCTTTTCTAGCTAACACCTTTAATAACATGTTGTCTTTGCCTTACATAATAATCACGCTTTAACCTTTATCAAAAGAATGATGTTGACAAAAGTAGACTAGACACACATTTTGTTTCAGAACCCTTTAGGGCCATGTTTTAGCTTTTTGAAAATGGCAATGAAAATATAAAAGCTAACACATTTTCAGGCCGAGGCTAATAGAACAGGTTAATAGTGAAAGTTATATAAAATATGTAATATAGTTAGTGAGAGTTATCAAAAATGCCATTTAGTGTTTCTTAGAGGGGCATCAGTAACACATCCACAAATATTGGATACATCTGGTGTTTGTGACAGCTAGATGATTACATCCAAAATGATCAATGGTCATATATCCTATATAATCTACATTATGACAGTGTCATGCAGCGTTACATTTAGAACTTAGATAGTGAAGAAACCTCTTTAAAAAAATTGGAAATATGCATGAAAAACATACGCTCATCTTCAACCCCATGCCTTTGAGTCTCTGCTCATTATAATACCATTTCACCATTTCTCACTGACAGTCTCTCGTTCTTTGCCTTTTGACGAATGTGAATACATTAGCACGGGTTATGAAAGCCGTATTCCTCTGATTTAATTAAAGCTATTGTCCCCCCTTTCCCACATCTTTGTATGCTCTTGCAGTGGCAGATAGAGGTTTCTGTGGCCTTAATGGCCTCATTCCAGGGTTAATGAGGGCCTGTCTCAGACCCCAACACCCGGCAGGTACCCCTCATTAGAGCAGAAATCGAAACGTGGTGGGGGCCCCTGGCGCCACAGGAATCACATTATTTTATATGCTGCCTCACCTTTAGTCTTCACCCAGAGTCCAGAAATTGCTTTGCAAACCAGTGTTAATATACCACAGAAAGGTTTTGAGAGGTTACACGCTGATGTTACACAGCCAGCTCTGTGGACAGAGGAGGGGGGGGTTGAAGAGGGGAAAGCTGGATAATTTGTGTCGTGTCTGTGGCACCCACGGTGTAAGTGATACTGTACATGCCGGGGTCAGAAATTAATAGGGGTTCAGGGCAAAAACGCACCTGAAAGTTAATACCGCAAAACGCCTGGGAAATTGATAATTAGAGGCAATTAATTAGTATAAAAGCCTGCATTTCAGTAACTTATTCTCAGTTTAATCAGGAACCAAATTCACAGCCTGATAAATGCTGAGCTAATAAAACTGTTTACCGTCAAGAAAATACCCTGAATAAAGTCCTGACTGATTAAAAAAACTGCAATATCATAATTCTATATCAATCCAAGTCTATTGATAATGGGAAAACAAATCTGGCGGCCGTTTGAGGCTACATTTATTCCTAGCATAACACGCCCAAAGCTCTGACCCAACTGTAGGTGATTGAGTTGCATTGTGGGTAATGTTGGCGGTAGGTTTTGAGAACCAGTTCAAATGCATGAGATAAATAGGATGATGATAAAGTATCTCTGGTTTTGCTGCATCAACTTTTGTTTTTGTACTATCCTTGTGTTTAACTGCTCTTTGTGAAACAAGCGATAGTGCAAAGGTGCATGTCTAAAGCTGGCGTTGGCATTGTGTTTCTATGGAGAGCTGTATGTAGCAGGTAGCAGCACAAGCTAGCAAGGGAGGTAACCATAGAAACGAAACCTAACTGGCTATTTTCATCACAAGGCTTTGGCCGTTTCTCAATGTCGAGTAAAGCTGCTGCAGATCAATCAATCAATCGCGAGGATGCTGGCTTGGTAATCGCGTACTTCCAAGTCACTTCCTTCAGAAACGAAGCAAGTATGCTTCCAAGCCACGGCTTCGGAAAACGAAGAAGAATGGAACAGGCTAACAAGTGTGCCACTCTCTCTAACGGTTTCAACATAAACTGTACCGAAAATAAATACCTCACGATGTCTATCTAATTATGAACTTGATTTATTTTCACGGAGCACATTTTTGGTGATAACAAACAAAGTTAACAAAGTAACATATTATTTACCAACACATGTTCTACGCCACTATACTTACATTTAAATGTGTGCTGCATCGGTTCAGCCATTCTCCGCAAGGGTTTTTGAAATTGGTCCGTGCGCAAAGCATTGTGGGGATTTCAAGGACGCAAAGGCCGTTTCTCAATCTCGAGGAAACTGGTTTCCAAGCCAATATTTCAAGGATACTACGTCATCGAGTGCCGCCGAAGGACTGTTCCAATCTCCAGCATACTTGGAATTCCACCGAGGCCACGTCCTTGGTTTGGGGGTAATTTCGAGGCTGCACATGGCTCCTTCAAATCCCCACAATGCTTTGCGCACGGACCATTTTCAAAAACCCTTGCGGAGAATGGCTGAACCGACGCAGCGCAGCACACATTTAAATGTAAGTATGTTGTGGCGTAGAACATGTGTTGGTAAATATGTTACTTTGTTG